GTAGGGAGAGTTAGAGCCCATCAATTCAAGGAACAAGCGCAGCATAGGTGGGCAAAAGCGTATTGCGTGCGTTAGTGGCATGCGCTTCATGTGATGTGGTTGTCGGGGTATGCGCGACATGTGTTTGTGATGAAACTAGGCTAGCGGCCTAGTGGTCTAGTGGTATGATTCTCGCCTTGGGTGCGAGAGCTCCCGGTTTCGATCACCGGCTGGGCGCGTCTTTTGCTCGGAATCCCAGGTCGGGCCGTGTCCTATCGAGGGCAAGGCGGCGTTCGGCGCATATCACCCGTCTACTCGCTCGCGACTGGTACTGGGGGGAATTTTGCTCAGCACCACGACTCGACCGTGACATGCTGTGGGGCTTGGGCTGGGGCTTGTCGTCCTCACTTTTTTCTCTACTCTGCGACGTTGGCACCCATCTTTCTCTCCCATCGACCGCCAGCTAGTGACCTCCCTACCATTCGCACCTATCCTGTTCAAAATTCTTGCCTAAGATTATATCTCAATTTGTGTTTGCATACTACACACCGTTTTTAGATGTTCACGGATGTCCGACCGTGAATGGTGTGTGCATTCACCTCTATAAATTGATACATAATAAGTGTGCGTAACTTGTGCTGTAGGGAGAGTTAGAGCCCATCAATTCAAGGAACAAGCGCAGCATAGGTGGGCAAAAGCGTATTGCGTGCGTTAGTGGCATGCGCTTCATGTGATGTGGTTGTCGGGGTATGCGCGACATGTGTTTGTGATGAGACTAGGTTAGCGGCCTAGTGGTCTAGTGGTATGATTCTCGCTTTGGGTGCGAGAGCTCCCGGTTTCGATCACCGGCTGGGCCCGTCTTTTGCTCGGAATCCCACCCAACGCCAGGTCGGCCGTGTCCTATCGGGGCAAGGCGGCGTTCGGCGCGTATCACCGGTCTACTCGGTCGCGGCTGGCACTGGGGGAATTTTGCTCAGCAACACGACTCGACGTGACATGGCGTGGTGCTGGTGCTGTACTTGTCGTCCTCGCTTTTTCGCTACACTGCGACTTTGCCACCCTCTTCTCTTCCACCGACAGCCAGCTAGTGACTCCCTACCATCGCACCTTTCTGCTTAGAATTCTTGGCTAGATATATATCATTTGTGTTTGCATACTACACACCGCTTCTAGATGTTCACGGATGTCCGACCGTGAATGGTGTGTGCATTCACCTCTATAAATTGATACATAATAATTGTGCGTAACTTGTGCTGTAGGGAGAGTTAGAGCCCATCAATTCAAGGAACAAGCGCGGCATAGGTGGGCAAAAGCGTATTGCGTGCGTTAGTGGCATGCGCTTCATGTGATGTGGCTGTCGGGGTATGCGCGACATGTGTTTGTGATGAGACTAGGTTAGCGGCCTAGTGGTCTAGTGGTATGATTCTCGCCTTGGGTGCGAGAGCTCCCGGTTTCGATCACCGGCTGGGCCCGTCTTTTGCTCGGAATCCCAGGTCGGCCGTGTCCTATCGGGGCAAGGCGGCGTTCGGCGCATATCACCCGTCTACTCGGTCGCGACTGGTACTGGGGGAATTTTGCTCAGCACCACGACTCGACGTGACATGGTGTGGTGCTTGTGCTGTGCTTGTCGTCCTCACTTTTTCGCTACTCTGCGACTTTGCCACCCTCTTCTCTTCCACCGACAGCCAGCTAGTGACTCCCTACCATCGCACCTTTCTGTTCAAAATTCTTGGCTAGATATATCTCATTTGTGTTTGCATACTACACACCGTTTTTAGATGCTCACGGATGTCCGTGCATTCACCTCTATAAATTGATACATAGTACTTGTGCGTAACTTGTGCTGTAGGGAGAGTTAGAGCCCATCAATTCAAGGAACAAGCGCAGCATAGGTGGGCAAAAGCGTATTGCGTGCGTTAGTGGCATGCGCTTCATGTGATGTGGTTGTCGGGGTATGTGCCACATGTGTTTGTGATGAGACTAGGCTAGCGGCCTAGTGGTCTAGTGGTATGATTCTCGCTTTGGGTGCGAGAGGTCCCGGTTTCGATCACCGGCTGGGCCCGTCTTTTGCTCGGAATCCCACCCAACGCCAGGTCAACCGTGTCCTATCGGGGCAAGGCGGCGTTCGGCGCATATCACCCGTCTACTCGGTCGCGACTGGTACTGGGGGAATTTTGCTCAGCACCACGACTCGACGTGACATGGCGTGGTGCTTGTGCTGTGCTTGTCGTCCTCACTTTTTCGCTACTCTGCGACTTTGCCACCCTCTTCTCTTCCACCGACAGCCAGCTAGTGACTCCCTACCATCGCACCTTTCTGCTTAGAATTCTTGGCTAGATATATCTCATTTGTGTTTGCATACTACACACCGTTTTTAGATGTTCACGGATGTCCGTGCATTCACCTCTATAAATTGATACATAATACTTGTGCGTAACTTGTGCTGTAGGGAGAGTTAGAGCCCATCAATTCAAGGAACAAGCGCAGCATAGGTGGGCAAAAGCGTATTGCGTGCGTTAGTGGCATGCGCTTCATGTGATGTGGTTGTCGGGGTATCCGCGACATGTGTTTGTGATGAGACTAGGCTAGCGGCCTAGTGGTCTAGTGGTATGATTCTCGCTTTGGGTGCGAGAGCTCCCGGTTTCGATCACCGGCTGGGCCCGTCTTTTGCTCGGAATCCCACCCAACGCCAGGTCAACCGTGTCCTATCGGGGTAAGGCGGCGTTCGGCGCATATCACCCGTCTACTCGGTCGCGACTGGTACTGGGGGAATTTTGCTCAGCACCACGACTCGACGTGACATGGTGTGGTGCTTGTGCTGTGCTTGTCGTCCTCACTTTTTCGCTACTCTGCGACTTTGCCACCCTCTTCTCTTCCACCGACAGCCAGCTAGTGACTCCCTACCATCGCACCTTTCTGTTCAAAATTCTTGGCTAGATATATCTCATTTGTGTTTGCATACTACACACCGTTTTTAGATGCTCACGGATGTCCGTGCATTCACCTCTATAAATTGATACATAATACTTGTGCGTAACTTGTGCTGTAGGGAGAGTTAGAGCCCATCAATTCAAGGAACAAGCGCAGCATAGGTGGGCAAAAGCGTATTGCGTGCGTTAGTAGCATGCGCTTCATGTGATGTGGCTGTCGGGGTATGCGCGACATGTGTTTGTGATGAGACTAGGTTAGCGGCCTAGTGGTCTAGTGGTATGATTCTCGCTTTGGGTGCGAGAGGTCCCGGTTTCGATCACCGGCTGGGCCCGTCTTTTGCTCGGAATCCCACCCAACGCCAGGTCAACCGTGTCCTATCGGGGTAAGGCGGCGTTCGGCGCATATCACCCGTCTACTCGGTCGCGACTGGTACTGGGGGAATTTTGCTCAGCACCACGACTCGACGTGACATGGCGTGGTGCTTGTGCTGTGCTTGTCGTCCTCACTTTTTTGCTACTCTGCGACTTTGCCACCCTCTTCTCTTCCACCGACAGCCAGCTAGTGACTCCCTACCATCGCACCTTTCTGCTTAGAATTCTTGGCTAGATATATCTCATTTGTGTTTGCATACTACACACCGCTTCTAGATGTTCACGGATGTCCGACCGTGAATGGTGTGTGCATTCACCTCTATAAATTGATACATAATACTTGTGCGTAACTTGTGCTGTAGGGAGAGTTAGAGCCCATCAATTCAAGGAACAAGCGCAGCATAGGTGGGCAAAAGCGTATTGCGTGCGTTAGTGGCATGCGCTTCATGTGATGTGGCTGTCGGGGTATGCGCGACATGTGTTTGTGATGAAACTAGGCTAGCGGCCTAGTGGTCTAGTGGTATGATTCTCGCCTTGGGTGCGAGAGCTCCCGGTTTCGATCACCGGCTGAGCCCGTCTTTTGCTCGGAATCCCACCCAACGCCAGGTCGGCCGTGTCCTATCGGGGCAAGGCGGCGTTCGGCGCGTATCACCGGTCTACTCGGTCGCGGCTGGCACTGGGGGAATTTTGCTCAGCACCACGACTCGACGTGACATGGCGTGGTGCTGGTGCTGTACTTGTCGTCCTCGCTTTTTCGCTACTCTGCGACTTTGCCACCCTCTTCTCTTCCACCGACAGCCAGCTAGTGACTCCCTACCATCGCACCTTTCTGCTTTAGAATTCTTGGCTAGATATATCTCATTTGTGTTTGCATACTCAACACCGTTTTTAGATGTTCACGGATGTCCGTGCATTCACCTCTATAAATTGATACATAATACTTGTGCGTAACTTGTGCTGTAGGGAGAGTTAGAGCCCATAAATTCAAGGAACAAGCGCAGCATAGGTGGGCAAAAGCGTATTGCGTGCGTTAGTGGCATGCGCTTCATGTGATGTGGTTGTCGGGGTATGCGCGACATGTGTTTGTGATGAGACTAGGTTAGCGGCCTAGTGGTCTAGTGGTATGATTCTCGCTTTGGGTGCGAGAGGTCCCGGTTTCGATCACCGGCTGGGCCCGTCTTTTGCTCGGAATCCCACCCAACGCTAGGTCGGCCGTGTCCTATCGGGGCAAGGCGGCGTTCGGCGCGTATCACCGGTCTACTCGGTCGCGGCTGGCACTGGGGGAATTTTGCTCAGCAACACGACTCGACGTGACATGGCGTGGTGCTGGTGCTATACTTGTCGTCCTCGCTTTTTCGCTACACTGCGACTTTGCCACCCTCTTCTCTTCCACCGACAGCCAGCTAGTGACTCCCTACCATCGCACCTTTCTGCTTAAAATTCTTGGCTAGATATATCTCATTTGTGTTTGCATACTACACACCGCTTCTAGATGTTCACGGATGTCCGACCGTGAATGGTGTGTGCATTCACCTCTATAAATTGATACATAATAATTGTGCGTAACTTGTGCTGTAGGGAGAGTTAGAGCCCATCAATTCAAGGAACAAGCGCAGCATAGGTGGGCAAAAGCGTATTGCGTGCGTTAGTGGCATGCGCTTCATGTGATGTGGTTGTCGGGGTATGCGCGACATGTGTTTGTGATGAGACTAGGCCCCTGGAGTAGTGGGCTAGTGGTGAGATTCTCGCTTTGGGTGCGAGAGGTCCGCGATTCGATCCCCGGCTGGGCCCGTCTTTTGCTCGGAATCCCACCCAACGCCAGGTCAACCGTGTCCTATCGGGGCAGGCGGCGCTCGGCGCATATCACCCGTCTACTCGGTCGCGGCTGGTACTGGGGGAATTTTGCTCAGCACCACGACTCGACGTGACATGGCGTGGTGCTTGTGCTGTGCTTGTCGTCCTCACTTTTTCGCTACTCTGCGACTATGCCACCCTCTTCTCTTCCACCGACAGCCAGGTAGTGACTCCCTACCATCGCACCTTTCTGTTCAAAATTCTTGGCTAGATATATCTCATTTGTGTTTGCATACTACACACCGTTTTTAGATGTTCACGGATGTCTGATCGTGAATGGTGTGTGCATTCACCTCTATAAATTGATACATAATACTTGTGCGTAACTTGTGCTGTAGGGAGAGTTAGAGCCCATCAATTCAAGGAACAAGCGCAGCATAGGTGGGCAAAAGCGTATTGCGTGCGTTAGTGGCATGCGCTTCATGTGATGTGGCTGTCGGGGTATGCGCGACATGTGTTTGTGATGAGACTAGGTTAGCGGCCTAGTGGTCTAGTGGTATGATTCTCGCTTTGGGTGCGAGAGCTCCCGGTTTCGATCACCGGCTGGGCCCGTCTTTGCTCGGAATCCCAGGTCGGCCGTGTCCTATCGGGGCAAGGCGGCGTTCGGCGCATATCACCCGTCTACTCGGTCGCGACTGGTACTGGGGGAATTTTGCTCAGCACCACGACTCGACGTGACATGGCGTGGTGCTTGTGCTGTGCTTGTCGTCCTCACTTTTTCGCTACTCTGCGACTTTGCCACCCTCTTCTCTTCCACCGACAGCCAGCTAGTGACTCCCTACCATCGCACCTTTCTGCTTAGAATTCTTGGCTAGATATATCTCATTTGTGTTTGCATACTACACACCGCTTCTAGATGTTCACGGTGTCCGACCGTGAATGGTGTGTGCATTCACCTCTATAAATTGATACATAATAAGTGTGCGTAACTTGTGCTGTAGGGAGAGCTAGAGCCCATCAATTCAAGGAACAAGCGCAGCATAGGTGGGCAAAAGCGTATTGCGTGCGTTAGTGGCATGCGCTTGCATGTGATGTGGTTGTCGGGGTATGCGCGACATGTGTTTGTGATGAGACTAGGTTAGCGGCCTAGTGGTCTAGTGGTATGATTCTCGCTTTGGGTGCGAGAGCTCCCGGTTTCGATCACCGGCTGGGCCCGTCTTTTGCTCGGAATCCCACCCAACGCCAGGTCAACCGTGTCCTATCGGGGCAAGGCGGCGTTCGGCGCGTATCACCGGTCTACTCGGTCGCGGCTGGCACTGGGGGAATTTTGCTCAGCAACACGACTCGACGTGACATGGCGTGGTGCTGGTGCTGTACTTGTCGTCCTCGCTTTTTCGCTACACTGCGACTTTGCCACCCTCTCCTCTTCCACCGACAGCCAGCTAGTGACTCCCTACCATCGCACCTTTCTGTTCAAAATTCTTGGCTAGATATATCTCATTTGTGTTTGCATACTCAACACCGTTTTTAGATGTTCACGGATGTCCGACCGTGAATGGTGTGTGCATTCACCTCTATAAATTGATACATAATACTTGTGCGTAACTTGTGCTGTAGGGAGAGCTAGAGCCCATAAATTCAAGGAACAAGCGCAGCATAGGTGGGCAAAAGCGTATTGCGTGCGTTAGTGGCATGCGCTTCATGTGATGTGGTTGTCGGGGTATGCGCGACATGTGTTTGTGATGAGACTAGGCTAGCGGCCTAGTGGTCTAGTGGTATGATTCTCGCTTTGGGTGCGAGAGGTCCCGGTTTCGATCACCGGCTGGGCCCGTCTTTTGCTCGGAATCCCAGCACCAGCCCGTGCGGCCGTGTCCTATCGGGGCAAGGCGGCGTTCGGCGCGTATCACCGGTCTACTCGGTCGCGACTGGTACTGGGGGAATTTTGCTCAGCACCACGACTCGACGTGACATGGCGTGGTGCTTGTGCTGTGCTTGTCGTCCTCACTTTTTCGCTACTCTGCGACTTTGCCACCCTCTTCTCTTCCACCGACAGCCAGCTAGTGACTCCCTACCATCGCACCTTTCTGCTTAGAATTCTTGGCTAGATATATCTCATTTGTGTTTGCATACTACACACCGCTTCTAGATGTTCACGAATGTCCGACCGTAAATGGTGTGTGCATTCACCTCTATAAATTGATACATAATAATTGTGCGTAACTTGTGCTGTCGGGAGAGTTAGAGCCCATCAATTCAAGAAACAAGCGCAGCATAGGTGGGCAAAAGCGTATTGCGTGCGTTAGTGGCATGCGCTTCATGTGATGTGGTTGTCGGGGTATGCGCGACATGTGTTTGTGATGAAACTAGGTTAGCGGCCTAGTGGTCTAGTGGTATGATTCTCGCTTTGGGTGCGAGAGCTCCCGGTTTCGATCACCGGCTGGGCCCGTCTTTTGCTCGGAATCCCACCCAACGCCAGGTCGGCCGTGTCCTATCGGGGCAAGGCGGCGTTCGGCGCGTATCACCGGTCTACTCGGTCGCGGCTGGCACTGGGGGAATTTTGCTCAGCAACACGACTCGACGTGACATGGCGTGGTGCTGGTGCTGTACTTGTCGTCCTCGCTTTTTCGCTACACTGCGACTTTGCCACCCTCTTCTCTTCCACCGACAGCCAGCTAGTGACTCCCTACCATCGCACCTTTCTGCTTAGAATTCTTGGCTAGATATATCTCATTTGTGTTTGCATACTACACACCGCTTCTAGATGTTCACGGATGTCCGACCGTGAATGGTGTGTGCATTCACCTCTATAAATTGATACATAATAGTTGTGCGTAACTTGTGCTGTAGGGAGAGTTAGAGCCCATCAATTCAAGGAACAAGCGCAGCATAGGTGGGCAAAAGCGTATTGCGTGCGTTAGTGGCATGCGCTTCATGTGATGTGGTTGTCGGGGTATGCGCGACATGTGTTTGTGATGAAACTAGGTTAGCGGCCTAGTGGTCTAGTGGTATGATTCTCGCTTTGGGTGCGAGAGGTCCCGGTTTGGATCACCGGCTGGGCCCGTCTTTTGCTCGGAATCCCACCCAACGCCAGGTCGGCCGTGTCCTATCGGGGCAAGGCGGCGTTCGGCGCGTATCACCGGTCTACTCGGTCGCGGCTGGCACTGGGGGAATTTTGCTCAGCAACACGACTCGACGTGACATGGCGTGGTGCTGGTGCTGTACTTGTCGTCCTCGCTTTTTTCGCTACACTGCGACTTTGCCACCCTCTTCTCTTCCACCGACAGCCAGCTAGTGACTCCCTACCATCGCACCTTTCTGTTCAAAATTCTTGGCTAGATATATCTCATTTGTGTTTTGCATACTACACACCGGTTTTTAGATGTTCACGGATGTCTGGATCGGGAATGGGGGGTGCATTCACCTCTATAAATTGATACATAATAAGTGGTGCGTAACTTGGTGCTGGAGGGGAGAGTTAGAGCCCATTCATTTCAGGGAACAAGCGCAGCATAGGTGGGCAAAAGCGTATTGCGTGCGTTAGTGGCATGCGCTTCTTGTGATGTTGGTCGTCGGGGTATCGCGACCATGTGTTTAATGAAGGAGACCTAGGGTTAGCCGGCCTAGTGGTCTAGTGGTATGATTCTCGCTTTGGGTGCGAGAGCTCCCGGTTTCGATCACCGGCTGGACCCGTCTTTTGCTCGGAATCCCACCCAACGCCAGGTCGGCCGTGTCCTATCGGGGCAAGGCGGCGTTCGGCGCGTATCACCGGTCTACTCGGTCGCGGCTGGCACTGGGGGAATTTTGCTCAGCAACACGACTCGACGTGACATGGCGTGGTGCTGGTGCTGTACTTGTCGTCCTCGCTTTACGCTACACTGCGACTTTGCCACCCTCTTCTCTTCCACCGACAGCCAGCTAGTGACTCCCTACCATCGCACCTTTCTGTTCAAAATTCTTGGCTAGATATATCTCATTTGTGTTTGCATACTACACACCGTTTTTAGATGTTCACGGATGTCTGATCGTGAATGGTGTGTGCATTCACCTCTATAAATTGATACATAATAAGTGTGCGTAACTTGTGCTGTAGGGAGAGTTAGAGCCCATCAATTCAAGGAACAAGCGCAGCATAGGTGGGCAAAAGCGTATTGCGTGCGTTAGTGGCATGCGCTTCATGTGATGTGGTTGTCGGGGTATGCGCGACATGTGTTTGTGATGAGACTAGGTTAGCGGCCTAGTGGTCTAGTGGTATGATTCTCGCTTTGGGTGCGAGAGGTCCCGGTTTCGATCACCGGCTGGGCCCGTCTTTTGCTCGGAATCCCACCCAACGCCAGGTCGGCCGTGTCCTATCGGGGCAAGGCGGCGTTCGGCGCGTATCACCGGTCTACTCGGTCGCGGCTGGCACTGGGGGAATTTTGCTCAGCAACACGACTCGACGTGACATGGCGTGGTGCTGGTGCTGTACTTGTCGTCCTCGCTTTTTCGCTACACTGCGACTTTGCCACCCTCTTCTCTTCCACCGACAGCCAGCTAGTGACTCCCTACCATCGCACCTTTCTGTTCAAAATTCTTAGCTAGATATATCTCATTTGTGTTTGCATACTACACACCGTTTTTAGATGTTCACGGATGTCTGATCGTGAATGGTGTGTGCATTCACCTCTATAAATTGATACATAATAAGTGTGCGTAACTTGTGCTGTAGGGAGAGTTAGAGCCCATCAATTCAAGGAACAAGCGCAGCATAGGTGGGCAAAAGCGTATTGCGTGCGTTAGTGGCATGCGCTTCATGTGATGTGGTTGTCGGGGTATGCGCGACATGTGTTTGTGATGAGACTAGGTTAGCGGCCTAGTGGTCTAGTGGTATGATTCTCGCTTTGGGTGCGAGAGGTCCCGGTTTCGATCACCGGCTGGGCCCGTCTTTTGCTCGGAATCCCAGGTCGGCCGTGTCCTATCGGGGCAAGGCGGCGTTCGGCGCGTATCACCGGTCTACTCGGTCGCGGCTGGCACTGGGGGAATTTTGCTCAGCAACACGACTCGACGTGACATGGCGTGGTGCTGGTGCTGTACTTGTCGTCCTCGCTTTTTCGCTACACTGCGACTTTGCCACCCTCTTCTCTTCCACCGACAGCCAGCTAGTGACTCCCTACCATCGCACCTTTCTGTTCAAAATTCTTGGGCTAGATATATCTCATCTGTGTTTGTGTACTACACACCGCGTTTAGATGTTCACGGATGTCTGATCGATGAATGGTGTGTGCATTCACCGCTATATAAACGATCCATACATAAGTATACATAATACTTGTGCTGTAGCTTGAGTTGGAGCACCTTGAGCTGTAGGGAGAGTTAGAGCCCATCAATTGGAGGAACAAGCGCAGCATAGGTGGGCAAAAGCGTATTGCGTGCGTTAGTGGCATGCGCTTCATGTGATGTGGTTGTCGGGGTATGCGCGACATGTGTTTGTGATGAAACTAGGTTAGCGGCCTAGTGGTCTAGAGGTATGATTCTCGCTTTGGGTGCGAGAGCTCCCGGTTTCGATCACCGGCTGGGCCCGTCTTTTGCTCGGAATCCCAGGTCGGCCGTGTCCTATCGGGGCAAGGCGGCGTTCGGCGCGTATCACCGGTCTACTCGGTCGCGGCTGGCACTGGGGGAATTTTGCTCAGCAACACGACTCGACGTGACATGGCGTGGTGCTGGTGCTGTACTTGTCGTCCTCGCTTTTTCGCTACACTGCGACTTTGCCACCCTCTTCTCTTCCACCGACAGCCAGCTAGTGACTCCCTACCATCGCACCTTTCTGTTCAGAATTCTTGGCTAGATATATCTCATTTGTGTTTGCATACTACACACCGTTTTTAGATGTTCACGGATGTCCGTACATTTACCTTAATTAATTGATACATAATAATTGTGCGTAGCTTGTGCTGTAGGGAGAGTTAGAGCCCATCAATTCAAGGAACAAGCGCAGCATAGGTGGGCAAAAGCGTATTGCGTGCGTTAGTGGCATGCGCTTCATGTGATGTGGTTGTCGGGGTATGCGCGACATGTGTTTGTGATGAAACTAGGTTAGCGGCCTAGTGGTCTAGTGGTATGATTCTCGCTTTGGGTGCGAGAGCTCCCGGTTTCGATCACCGGCTGGGCCCGTCTTTTGCTCGGAATCCCAGGTCGGCCGTGTCCTATCGGGGCAAGGCGGCGTTCGGCGCGTATCACCGGTCTACTCGGTCGCGGCTGGCACTGGGGGAATTTTGCTCAGCAACACGACTCGACGTGACATGGCGTGGTGCTGGTGCTGTACTTGTCGTCCTCGCTTTTTCGCTACACTGCGACTTTGCCACCCTCTTCTCTTCCACCGACAGCCAGCTAGTGACTCCCTACCATCGCACCTTTCTGTTCAGAATTCTTGGCTAGATATATCTCATTTGTGTTTGCATACTACACACCGTTTTTAGATGTTCACGGATGTCCGTACATTTACCTTTATTAATTGATACATAATAATTGTGCGTAGCTTGTGCTGTAGGGAGAGTTAGAGCCCCATGAATTCAAGGAACAAGCGCAGCATAGGTGGGCAAAAGCGTATTGCGTGCGTTAGTGGCATGCGCTTCATGTGATGTGGTTGTCGGGGTATGCGCGACATGTGTTTGTGAAGAGACTAGGTTAGCGGCCTAGTGGTCTAGTGGTATGATTCTCGCTTTGGGTGCGAGAGGTCCCGGTTTGGATCACCGGCTGGGCCCGTCTTTTGCTCGGAATCCCACCCAACGCCAGGTCGGCCGTGTCCTATCGGGGCAAGGCGGCGTTCGGCGCGTATCACCGGTCTACTCGGTCGCGGCTGGCACTGGGGGAATTTTGCTCAGCAACACGACTCGACGTGACATGGCGTGGTGCTGGTGCTGTACTTGTCGTCCTCGCTTTTTCGCTACACTGCGACTTTGCCACCCTCTTCTCTTCCACCGACAGCCAGCTAGTGACTCCCTACCATCGCACCTTTCTGTTCAAAATTCTTGGCTAGATATATCTCATTTGTGTTTGCATACTACACACCGTTTCTAGATGTTCACGGATGTCTGATCGTGAATGATGTGTGCATTCACCTCTATAAATTGATACATAATAACTGTGCGTAACTTGTGCTGTAGGGAGAGTTAGAGCCCATCAATTCAAGGAACAAGCGCAGCATAGGTGGGCAAAAGCGTATTGCGTGCGTTAGTGGCATGCGCTTCATGTGATGTGGTTGTCGGGGTATGCGCGACATGTGTTTGTGATGAGACTAGGTTAGCGGCCTAGTGGTCTAGTGGTATGATTCTCGCTTTGGGTGCGAGAGCTTCCGGTTTCGATCACCGGCTGGGCCCGTCTTTTGCTCGGAATGCCACCCAACGCCAGGTCGGCCGTGTCCTATCGGGGCAAGGCGGCGTTCGGCGCGTATCACCGGTCTACTCGGTCGCGGCTGGCACTGGGGGAATTTTGCTCAGCAACACGACTCGACGTGACATGGCGTGGTGCTGGTGCTGTACTTGTCGTCCTCGCTTTTTCGCTACACTGCGACTTTGCCACCCTCCTCTCTTCCACCGACAGCCAGCTAGTGACTCCCTACCATCGCACCTTTCTGTTCAAAATTCTTGGCTAGATATATCTCATTTGTGTTTGCATACTACACACCGTTTTTAGATGTTCACGGATGTCTGATCGTGAATGGTGTGTGCATTCACCTCTATAAATTGATACATAATAAGTGTGCGTAACTTGTGCTGTAGGGAGAGTTAGAGCCCATCAATTCAAGGAACAAGCGCAGCATAGGTGGGCAAAAGCGTATTGCGTGCGTTAGTGGCATGCGCTTCATGTGATGTGGTTGTCGGGGTATGCGCGACATGTGTTTGTGAAGAGACTAGGTTAGCGGCCTAGTGGTCTAGTGGTATGATTCTCGCTTTGGGTGCGAGAGCTCCCGGTTTGGATCACCGGCTGGGCCCGTCTTTTGCTCGGAATCCCACCCAACGCCAGGTCGGCCGTGTCCTATCGGGGCAAGGCGGCGTTCGGCGCGTATCACCGGTCTACTCGGTCGCGGCTGGCACTGGGGGAATTTTGCTCAGCAACACGACTCGACGTGACATGGCGTGGTGCTGGTGCTGTACTTGTCGTCCTCGCTTTTTCGCTACACTGCGACTTTGCCACCCTCTTCTCTTCCACCGACAGCCAGCTAGTGACTCCCTACCATCGCACCTTTCTGTTCAAAATTCTTGGCTAGATATATCTCATTTGTGTTTGCATACTACACACCGTTTTTAGATGTTCACGGATGTCTGATCGTGAATGGTGTGTGCATTCACCTCTATAAATTGATACATAATAAGTGTGCGTAACTTGTGCTGTAGGGAGAGTTAGAGCCCATCAATTCAGGAACCACGCGCGCGATAGGGAGGCATAAGCGTATGGCTTGCGTTAGTGGCATGCGCTTCATGTGATGTGGTGGTCGAGGTATGCGCGACATGTGATTGTGATGAGACTAGGTAAGCGGCCTAGTGGTCTAGTGGTATGCATCTCGCTTAGGGTGCGAGAGCTCCCGGTTTCGATCACCGGCTGGGCCCGTCTTTTGCTAGGAATCCCAGATCGGCCGTGTCCTATCGGGGCAAGGCGGCGTTCGGCGCGTATCACCGGTCTACTCGGTCGCGGCTGGCACTGGGGGAATTTTGCTCAGCAACACGACTCGACGTGACATGGCGTGGTGCTGGTGCTGTACTTGTCGTCCTCGCTTTTTCGCTACACTGCGACTTTGCCACCCTCTTCTCTTCCACCGACAGCCAGCTAGTGACTCCCTACCATCGCACCTTTCTGTTCAGAATTCTTGGCTAGATATATCTCATTTGTGTTTGCATACTACACACCGTTTTTAGATGTTCACGGATGTCCGTACATTTACCTTTATTAATTGATACATAATAATTGTGCGTAGCTTGTGCTGTAGGGAGAGTTAGAGACCATCAATTCAAGGAACAAGCGCAGCATAGGTGGGCAAAAGCGTATTGCGTGCGTTAGTGGCATGCGCTTCATGTGATGTGGTTGTCGGGGTATGCGCGACATGTGTTTGTGATGAAACTAGGTTAGCGGCCTAGTGGTCTAGTGGTATGATTCTCGCTTTGGGTGCGAGAGCTCCCGGTTTCGATCACCGGCTGGGCCCGTCTTTTGCTCGGAATCCCAGGTCGGCCGTGTCCTATCGGGGCAAGGCGGCGTTCGGCGCGTATCACCGGTCTACTCGGTCGCGGCTGGCACTGGGGGAATTTTGCTCAGCAACACGACTCGACGTGACATGGCGTGGTGCTGGTGCTGTACTTGTCGTCCTCGCTTTTTCGCTACACTGCGACTTTGCCACCCTCTTCTCTTCCACCGACAGCCAGCTAGTGACTCCCTACCATCGCACCTTTCTGTTCAAAATTCTTGGCTAGATATATCTCATTTGTGTTTGCATACTACACACCGTTTTTAGATGTTCACGGATGTCCGTACATTTACCTTTATTAATTGATACATAATAAGTGTGCGTAACTTGTGCTGTAGGGAGAGTTAAAGCCCATCAATTCAAGGAACAAGCGCAGCATAGGTGGGCAAAAGCGTATTGCGTGCGTTAGTGGCATGCGCTTCATGTGATGTGGTTGTCGGGGTATCCGCGACATGTGTTTGTGATGAGACTAGGTTAGCGGCCTAGTGGTCTAGTGGTATGATTCTCGCTTTGGGTGCGAGAGGTCCCGGTTTGGATCACCGGCTGGGCCCGTCTTTTGCTCGGAATCCCACCCAACGCCAGGTCGGCCGTGTCCTATCGGGGCAAGGCGGCGTTCGGCGCGTATCACCGGTCTACTCGGTCGCGGCTGGCACTGGGGGAATTTTGCTCAGCAACACGACTCGACGTGACATGGCGTGGTGCTGGTGCTGTACTTGTCGTCCTCGCTTTTTCGCTACACTGCGACTTTGCCACCCTCTTTTCTTCCACCGACAGCCAGCTAGTGACTCCCTACCATCGCACCTTTCTGTTCAAAATTCTTGGCTAGATATATCTCATTTGTGTTTGCATACTACACACCGTTTTTAGATGTTCACGGATGTCTGATCGTGAATGGTGTGTGCATTCACCTCTATAAATTGATACATAATAAGTGTGCGTAACTTGTGCTGTAGGGAGAGTTAGAGCCCATCAATTCAAGGAACAAGCGCAGCATAGGTGGGCAAAAGCGTATTGCGTGCGTTAGTGGCATGCGCTTCATGTGATGTGGTTGTCGGGGTATGCGCGACATGTGTTTGTGATGAGACTAGGTTAGCGGCCTAGTGGTCTAGTGGTATGATTCTCGCTTTGGGTGCGAGAGGTCCCGGTTTCGATCACCGGCTGGGCCCGTCTTTTGCTCGGAATCCCACCCAACGCCAGGTCGGCCGTGTCCTATCGGGGCAAGGCGGCGTTCGGCGCGTATCACCGGTCTACTCGGTCGCGGCTGGCACTGGGGAAATTTTGCTCAGCAACACGACTCGACGTGACATGGCGTGGTGCTGGTGCTGTACTTGTCGTCCTCGCTTTTTCGCTACACTGCGACTTTGCCACCCTCTTCTCTTCCACCGACAGCCAGCTAGTGACTCCCTACCATCGCACCTTTCTGTTCAAAATTCTTGGCTAGATATATCTCATTTGTGTTTGCATACTACACACCGTTTTTAGATGTTCACGGATGTCTGATCGTGAATGATGTGTGCATTCACCTCTATAAATTGATACATAATAAGTGTGCGTAACTTGTGCTGTAGGGAGAGTTAGAGCCCATCAATTCAAGGAACAAGCGCAGCATAGGTGGGCAAAAGCGTATTGCGTGCGTTAGTGGCATGCGCTTCATGTGATGTGGTTGTCGGGGTATGCGCGACATGTGTTTGTGAAGAGACTAGGTTAGCGGCCTAGTGGTCTAGTGGTATGATTCTCGCTTTGGGTGCGAGAGCTCCCGGTTTGGATCACCGGCTGGGCCCGTCTTTTGCTCGGAATCCCACCCAACGCCAGGTCGGCCGTGTCCTATCGGGGCAAGGCGGCGTTCGGCGCGTATCACCGGTCTACTCGGTCGCGGCTGGCACTGGGGGAATTTTGCTCAGCAACACGACTCGACGTGACATGGCGTGGTGCTGGTGCTGTACTTGTCGTCCTCGCTTTTTCGCTACACTGCGACTTTGCCACCCTCTTCTCTTCCACCGACAGCCAGCTAGTGACTCCCTACCATCGCACCTTTCTGTTCAAAATTCTTGGCTAGATATATCTCATTTGTGTTTGCATACTACACACCGTTTTTAGATGTTCACGGATGTCTGATCGTGAATGATGTGTGCATTCACCTCTATAAATTGATACATAATAACTGTGCGTAACTTGTGCTGTAGGGAGAGTTAGAGCCCATCAATTCAAGGAACAAGCGCAGCATAGGTGGGCAAAAGCGTATTGCGTGCGTTAGTGGCATGCGCTTCATGTGATGTGGTTGTCGGGGTATGCGCGACATGTGTTTGTGAAGAGACTAGGTTAGCGGCCTAGTGGTCTAGTGGTATGATTCTCGCTTTGGGTGCGAGAGGTCCCGGTTTGGATCACCGGCTGGGCCCGTCTTTTGCTCGGAATCCCACCCAACGCCAGGTCGGCCGTGTCCTATCGGGGCAAGGCGGCGTTCGGCGCGTATCACCGGTCTACTCGGTCGCGGCTGGCACTGGGGGAATTTTGCTCAGCAACACGACTCGACGTGACATGGCGTGGTGCTGGTGCTGTACTTGTCGTCCTCACTTTTTCGCTACTCTGCGACTTTGCCACCCTCTTCTCTTCCACCGACAGCCAGCTAGTGACTCCCTACCATCGCACCTTTCTGTTCAAAATTCTTGGCTAGATATATCTCATTTGTGTTTGCATACTACACACCGTTTTTAGATGCTCACGGATGTCCGTGCATTCACCTCTATAAATTGATACATAATACTTGTGCGTAACTTGTGCTGTAGGGAGAGTTAGAGCCCATCAATTCAAGGAACAAGCGCAGCATAAGTGGGCAAAAGCGTATTGCGTGCGTTAGTGGCATGCGCTTCATGTGATGTGGCTGTCGGGGTATGCGCGACATGTGTTTGTGATGAGACTAAGTTAGCGGCCTAGTGGTCTAGTGGTATGATTCTCGCCTTGGGTGCGAGAGCTCCCGGTGTCGATCACCGGCTGGGGCCGTCTTTTGCTCGGAATCCCAGCTCGGCCGTGTCCTATCAGGGCAAAGCGGCGTTCGGCGCATATCATCCGTCTACTCGGTCGCGACTGGTACTGGGGGAATTTTGCTCAGCACCACGACTCGACGTGACATGGCGTGGTGCTTGTGCTGTGCTTGTCGTCCTCACTTTTTCGCTACTCTGCGACTTTGCAACCCTCTTCTCTTCCACCGACAGCCAGCTAGTGACTCCCTACCATCGCACCTTTCTGTTCAGAATTCTTGGCTAGATATATCTCATTTGTGTTTGCATACTACACACCGTTTTTAGATGTTCACGGATGTCCGTACATTTACCTTTATTAATTGATACATAATAATTGTGCGTAGCTTGTGCTGTAGGGAGAGTTAGAGCCCATCAATTCAAGGAACAAGCGCAGCATAGGTGGGCAAAAGCGTATTGCGTGCGTTAGTGGCATGCGCTTCATGTGATGTGGTTGTCGGGGTATGCGCGACATGTGTTTGTGATGAGACTAGGTTAGCGGCCTAGTGGTCTAGTGGTATGATTCTCGCTTTGGGTGCGAGAGGTCCCGGTTTCGATCACCGGCTGGGCCCGTCTTTTGCTCGGAATCCCACCCAACGCCAGGTCGGCCGTGTCCTATCGGGGCAAGGCGGCGTTCGGCGCGTATCACCGGTCTACTCGGTCGCGGCTGGCACTGGGGGAATTTTGCTCAGCAACACGACTCGACGTGACATGGCGTGGTGCTGGTGCTGTACTTGTCGTCCTCGCTTTTTCGCTACACTGCGACTTTGCCACCCTCTTCTCTTCCACCGACAGCCAGCTAGTGACTCCCTACCATCGCACCTTTCTGTTCAAAATTCTTGGCTAGATATATCTCATTTGTGTTTGCATACTACACACCGTTTTTAGATGTTCACGGATGTCTGATCGTGAATGGTGTGTGCATTCACCTCTATAAATTGATACATAATAAGTGTGCGTAACTTGTGCTGTAGGGAGAGTTAGAGCCCATCAATTCAAGGAACAAGCGCAGCATAGGTGGGCAAAAGCGTATTGCGTGCGTTAGTGGCATGCGCTTCATGTGATGTGGTTGTCGGGGTATGCGCGACATGTGTTTGTGAAGAGACTAGGTTAGCGGCCTAGTGGTCTAGTGGTATGATTCTCGCTTTGGGTGCGAGAGCTCCCGGTTTCGATCACCGGCTGGGCCCGTCTTTTGCTCGGAATCCCACCCAACGCCAGGTCGGCCGTGTCCTATCGGGGCAAGGCGGCGTTCGGCGCGTATCACCGGTCTACTCGGTCGCGGCTGGCACTGGGGGAATTTTGCTCAGCAACACGACTCGACGTGACATGGCGTGGTGCTGGTGCTGTACTTGTCGTCCTCGCTTTTTCGCTACACTGCGACTTTGCCACCCTCTTCTCTTCCACCGACAGCCAGCTAGTGACTCCCTACCATCGCACCTTTCTGTTCAAAATTCTTGGCTAGATATATCTCATTTGTGTTTGCATACTACACACCGTTTTTAGATGTTCACGGATGTCTGATCGTGAATGGTGTATGCATTCACCTCTATAAATTGATACATAATAAGTGTGCGTAACTTGTGCTGTAGGGAGAGTTAGAGCCCATCAATTCAAGGAACAAGCGCAGCATAGGTGGGCAAAAGCGTATTGCGTGCGTTAGTGGCATGCGCTTTATGTGATGTGGTTGTCGGGGTATGCGCGACATGTGTTTGTGAAGAGACTAGGTTAGCGGCCTAGTGGTCTAGTGGTATGATTCTCGCTTTGGGTGCGAGAGCTCCCGGTTTGGATCACCGGCTGGGCCCGTCTTTTGCTCGGAATCCCACCCAACGCCAGGTCGGCCGTGTCCTATCGGGGCAAGGCGGCGTTCGGCGCGTATCACCGGTCTACTCGGTCGCGGCTGGCACTGGGGGAATTTTGCTCAGCAACACGACTCGACGTGACATGGCGTGGTGCTGGTGCTGTACTTGTCGTCCTCGCTTTTTCGCTACACTGCGACTTTGCCACCCTCTTCTCTTCCACCGACAGCCAGCTAGTGACTCCCTACCATCGCACCTTTCTGTTCAAAATTCTTGGCTAGATATATCTCATTTGTGTTTGCATACTACACACCGTTTAAGATGTTCACGGATGTCTGATCGTGAATGGTGTGTGCATTCACCTCTATAAATTGATACTTAATAATTGTGCGTAACTTGTGCTGTAGGGAGAGTTAGAGCCCATCAATTCAAGGAACAAGCGCAGCATAGGTGGGCAAAAGCGTATTGCGTGCGTTAGTGGCATGCGCTTCATGTGATGTGGCTGTCGGGGTATGCGCGACATGTGTTTGTGATGAGACTAGGTTAGCGGCCTAGTGGTCTAGTGGTATGATTCTCGCTTTGGGTGCGAGAGCTCCCGGTTTCGATCACCGGTCTGGACCCGTCTTTTGCTCGGAATCCCACCCAACGCCAGGTCGGCCGTGTCCTATCGGGGCAAGGCGGCGTTCGGCGCGTATCACCGGTCTACTCGGTCGCGGCTGGCACTGAGGGAATTTTGCTCAGCAACACGACTCGACGTGACATGGCGTGGTGCTGGTGCTGTACTTGTCGTCCTCGCTTTTTCGCTACACTGCGACTTTGCCACCCTCTTCTCTTCCACCGACAGCCAGCTAGTGACTCCCTACCATCGCACCTTTCTGTTCAAAATTCTTGGCTAGATATATCTCATTTGTGTTTGCATACTACACACCGTTTAAGATGTTCACGGATGTCTGATCGTGAATGGTGTGTGCATTCACCTCTATAAATTGATACATAATAAGTGTGCGTAACTTGTGCTGTAGGGAGAGTTAGAGCCCATCAATTCAAGGAACAAGCGCAGCATAGGTGGGCAAAAGCGTATTGCGTGCGTTAGTGGCATGCGCTTCATGTGATGTGGTTGTCGGGGTATGCGCGACATGTGTTTGTGATGAGACTAGGTTAGCGGCCTAGTGGTCTAGTGGTATGATTCTCGCTTTGGGTGCGAGAGGTCCCGGTTTCGATCACCGGCTGGGCCCGTCTTTTGCTCGAAATCCCACCCAACGCCAGGTCGGCCGTGTCCTATCGGGGCAAGGCGGCGTTCGGCGCGTATCACCGGTCTACTCGGTCGCGGCTGGCACTGGGGGAATTTTGCTCAGCAACACGACTCGACGTGACATGGCGTGGTGCTGGTGCTGTACTTGTCGTCCTCGCTTTTTCGCTACACTGCGACTTTGCCACCCTCTTCTCTTCCACCGACAGCCAGCTAGTGACTCCCTACCATCGCACCTTTCTGTTCAAAATTCTTGGCTAGATATATCTCATTTGTGTTTGCATACTACACACCGTTTTTAGATGTTCACGGATGTCTGATCGTGAATGGTGTGTGCATTCACCTCTATAAATTGATACATAATAAGTGTGCGTAACTTGTGCTGTAGGGAGAGTTAGAGCCCATCAATTCAAGGAACAAGCGCAGCATAGGTGGGCAAAAGCGTATTGCGTGCGTTAGTGGCATGCGCTTCATGTGATGTGGTTGTCGGGGTATGCGCGACATGTGTTTGTGATGAGACTAGGTTAGCGGCCTAGTGGTCTAGTGGTATGATTCTCGCTTTGGGTGCGAGAGGTCCCGGTTTCGATCACCGGCTGGGCCCGTCTTTTGCTCGGAATCCCACCCAACGCCAGGTCGGCCGTGTCCTATCGGGGCAAGGCGGCGTTCGGCGCGTATCACCGGTCTACTCGGTCGCGGCTGGCACTGGGGGAATTTTGCTCAGCAACACGACTCGACGTGACATGGCGTGGTGCTGGTGCTGTACTTGTCGTCCTCGCTTTTTCGCTACACTGCGACTTTGCCACCCTCTTCTCTTCCACCGACAGCCAGCTAGTGACTCCCTACCATCGCACCTTTCTGTTCAAAATTCTTGGCTAGATATATCTCATTTGTGTTTGCATACTACACACCGTTTTTAGATGTTCACGGATGTCTGATCGTGAATGGTGTGTGCATTCACCTCTATAAATTGATACATAATAAGTGTGCGTAACTTGTGCTGTAGGGAGAGTTAGAGCCCATCAATTTAAGGAACAAGCGCAGCATAGGTGGGCAAAATCGTATTGCGTGCGTTAGTGGCATGCGCTTCATGTGATGTGGTTGTCGGGGTATGCGCGACATGTGTTTGTGAAGAGACTAGGTTAGCGGCCTAGTGGTCTAGTGGTATGATTCTCGCTTTGGGTGCGAGAGGTCCCGGTTTCGATCACCGGCTGGGCCCGTCTTTCGCTCGGAATCCCACCCAACGCCAGGTCGGCCGTGTCCTATCGGGGCAAGGCGGCGTTCGGCGCGTATCACCGGTCTACTCGGTCGCGGCTGGCACTGGGGGAATTTTGCTCAGCAACACGACTCGACGTGACATGGCGTGGTGCTGGTGCTGTACTTGTCGTCCTCGCTTTTTCGCTACATTGCGACTTTGCCACCCTCTTCTCTTTCACCGACAGCCAGCTAGTGACTCCCTACCATCGCACCTTTCTGTTCAAAAATCTTGGCTAGATATATCTCATTTGTGTTTGCATACTACACACCGTTTTTAGATGTTCACGGATGTCTGATCGTGAATGGTGTGTGCATTCACCTCTATAAATTGATACATAATAAGTGTGCGTAACTTGTGCTGTAGGGAGAGTTAGAGCCCATCAATTCAAGGAACAAGCGCAGCATAGGTGGGCAAAAGCGTATTGCGTGCGTTAGTGTGATGTGGTTGTCGGGGTATGTCCGACATGTGTTTGTGAAGAGACTAGGTTAGCGGCCTAGTGGTCTAGTGGTATGATTCTCGCTTTGGGTGCGAGAGGTCCCGGTTTCGATCACCGGCTGGGCCCGTCTTTCGCTCGGAATCCCACCCAACGCCAGGTCGGCCGTGTCCTATCGGGGCAAGGCGGCGTTCGTGCGTATCACCGGTCTACTCGGTCGCGGCTGGCACTGGGGGAATTTTGCTCAGCAACACGACTCGACGTGACATGGCGTGGTGCTGGTGCTGTACTTGTCGTCCTCGCTTTTTCGCTACACTGCGACTTTGCCACCCTCTTCTCTTCCACCGACAGCCAGCTAGTGACTCCCTACCATCGCACCTTTCTGTTCAAAATTCTTGGCTAGATATATCTCATTTGTGTTTGCATACTACACACCGTTTCTAGATGTTCACGGATGTCTGATCGTGAATGATGTGTGCATTCACCTCTATAAATTGATACATAATAAGTGTGCGTAACTTGTGCTGTAGGGAGAGTTAGAGCCCATCAATTCAAGGAACAAGCGCAGCATAGGTGGGCAAAAGCGTATTGCGTGCGTTAGTGGCATGCGCTTCATGTGATGTGGTTGTCGGGGTATGCGCGACATGTGTTTGTGAAGAGACTAGGTTAGCGGCCTAGTGGTCTAGTGGTATGATTCTCGCTTTGGGTGCGAGAGCTCCCGGTTTCGATCACCGGCTGGGCCCGTCTTTTGCTCGGAATCCCACCCAACGCCAGGTCGGCCGTGTCCTATCGGGGCAAGGCGGCGTTCGGCGCGTATCACCGGTCTACTCGGTCGCGGCTGGCACTGGGGGAATTTTGCTCAGCAACACGACTCGACGTGACATGGCGTGGTGCTGGTGCTGTACTTGTCGTCCTCGCTTTTTCGCTACACTGCGACTTTGCCACCCTCTTCTCTTCCACCGACAGCCAGCTAGTGACTCCCTACCATCGCACCTTTCTGTTCAAAATTCTTGGCTAGATATATCTCATTTGTGTTTGCATACTACACACCGTTTTTAGATGTTCACGGATGTCTGATCGTGAATGGTGTATGCATTCACCTTTATTAATTGATACATAATAATTGTGCGTAGCTTGTGCTGTAGGGAGAGTTAGAGCCCATCAATTCAAGGAACAAGCGCAGCATAGGTGGGCAAAAGCGTATTGCGTGCGTTAGTGGCATGCGCTTCATGTGATGTGGTTGTCGGGGTATGCGCGACATGTGTTTGTGAAGAGACTAGGTTAGCGGCCTAGTGGTCTAGTGGTATGATTCTCGCTTTGGGTGCGAGAGCTCCCGGTTTGGATCACCGGCTGGGCCCGTCTTTTGCTCGGAATCCCACCCAACGCCAGGTCGGCCGTGTCCTATCGGGGCAAGGCGGCGTTCGGCGCGTATCACCGGTCTACTCGGTCGCGGCTGGCACTGGGGGAATTTTGCTCAGCAACACGACTCGACGTGACATGGCGTGGTGCTGGTGCTGTACTTGTCGTCCTCACTTTTTCGCTACTCTGCGACTATGCCACCCTCTTCTCTTCCACCGACAGCCAGGTAGTGACTCCCTACCATCGCACCTTTCTGTTCAAAATTCTTGGCTAGATATATCTCATTTGTGTTTGCATACTACACACCGTTTTTAGATGTTCACGGATGTCTGATCGTGAATGATGTGTGCATTTACCTCTATAAATTGATACATACGTAACTTGTGCTGTAGGGAGAGTTAGAGCCCATCAATTCAAGGAACAAGCGCAGCATAGGTGGGCAAAAGCGTATTGCGTGCGTTAGTGGCATGCGCTTCATGTGATGTGGTTGTCGGGGTATGCGCGACATGTGTTTGTGAAGAGACTAGGTTAGCGGCCTAGTGGTCTAGTGGTATGATTCTCGCTTTGGGTGCGAGAGGTCCCGGTTTCGATCACCGGCTGGACCCGTCTTTTGCTCGGAATCCCACCCAACGCCAGGTCGGCCGTGTCCTATCGGGGCAAGGCGGCGTTCGGCGCGTATCACCGGTCTACTCGGTCGCGGCTGGCACTGGGGGAATTTTGCTCAGCAACACGACTCGACGTGACATGGCGTGGTGCTGGTGCTGTACTTGTCGTCCTCGCTTTTTCGCTACACTGCGACTTTGCCACCCTCTCCTCTTCCACCGACAGCCAGCTAGTGACTCCCTACCATCGCACCTTTCTGTTCAAAATTCTTGGCTAGATATATCTCATTTGTGTTTGCATACTACACACCGTTTTTAGATGTTCACGGATGTCTGATCGTGAATGGTGTGTGCATTCACCTCTATAAATTGATACATAATAAGTGTGCGTAACTTGTGCTGTAGGGAGAGTTAGAGCCCATCAAATCAAGGAACAAGCGCAGCATAGGTGGGCAAAAGCGTATTGCGTGCGTTAGTGGCATGCGCTTCATGTGATGTGGTTGTCGGGGTATGCGCGACATGTGTTTGTGATGAAACTAGGTTAGCGGCCTAGTGGTCTAGTGGTATGATTCTCGCTTTGGGTGCGAGAGCTCCCGGTTTCGATCACCGGCTGGGCCCGTCTTTTGCTCGGAATCCCACCCAACGCCAGGTCGGCCGTGTCCTATCGGGGCAAGGCGGCGTTCGGCGCGTATCACCGGTCTACTCGGTCGCGGCTGGCACTGGGGGAATTTTGCTCAGCAACACGACTCGACGTGACATGGCGTGGTGCTGGTGCTGTACTTGTCGTCCTCGCTTTTTCGCTACACTGCGACTTTGCCACCCTCTTCTCTTCCACCGACAGCCAGCTAGTGACTCCCTACCATCGCACCTTTCTGTTCAAAATTCTTGGCTAGATATATCTCATTTGTGTTTGCATACTACACACCGTTTTTAGATGTTCACGGATGTCCGACCGTGAATGGTGTGTGCATTCACCTCTATAAATTGATACATAATAGTTGTGCGTAACTTGTGCTGTAGGGAGAGTTAGAGCCCATCAATTCAAGGAACAAGCGCAGCATAGGTGGGCAAAAGCGTATTGCGTGCGTTAGTGGCATGCGCTTCATGTGATGTGGTTGTCGGGCTATGCGCGACATGTGTTTGTGAAGAGACTAGGTTAGCGGCCTAGTGGTCTAGTGGTATGATTCTCGCTTTGGGTGCGAGAGGTCCCGGTTTCGATCACCGGCTGGGCCCGTCTTTTGCTCGGAATCCCACCCAAGGCCAGGTCGGCCGTGTCCTATCGGGGCAAGGCGGCGTTCGGCGCGTATCACCGGTCTACTCGGTCGCGGCTGGCACTGGGGGAATTTTGCTCAGCAACACGACTCGACGTGACATGGCGTGGTGCTGGTGCTGTACTTGTCGTCCTCGCTTTTTCGCTACACTGCGACTTTGCCACCCTCTTCTCTTCCACCGACAGCCAGCTAGTGACTCCCTACCATCGCACCTTTCTGTTCAAAATTCTTGGCTAGATATATCTCATTTGTGTTTGCATACTACACACCGTTTTTAGATGTTCACGGATGTCTGATCGTGAATGATGTGTGCATTCACCTCTATAAATTGATACATAATAAGTGTGCGTAACTTGTGCTGTAGGGAGAGTTAGAGCCCATCAATTCAAGGAACAAGCGCAGCATAGGTGGGCAAAAGCGTATTGCGTGCGTTAGTGGCATGCGCTTCATGTGATGTGGTTGTCGGGGTATGCGCGACATGTGTTTGTGAAGAGACTAGGTTAGCGGCCTAGTGGTCTAGTGGTATGATTCTCGCTTTGGGTGCGAGAGCTCCCGGTTTGGATCACCGGCTGGGCCCGTCTTTTGCTCGGAATCCCACCCAACGCCAGGTCGGCCGTGTCCTATCGGGGCAAGGCGGCGTTCGGCGCGTATCACCGGTCTACTCGGTCGCGGCTGGCACTGGGGGAATTTTGCTCAGCAACACGACTCGACGTGACATGGCGTGGTGCTGGTGCTGTACTTGTCGTCCTCGCTTTTTCGCTACACTGCGACTTTGCCACCCTCTTCTCTTCCACCGACAGCCAGCTAGTGACTCCCTACCATCGCACCTTTCTGTTCAAAATTCTTGGCTAGATATATCTCATTTGTGTTTGCATACTACACACCGTTTTTAGATGTTCACGGATGTCTGATCGTGAATGGTGTGTGCATTCACCTCTATAAATTGATACATAATAAGTGTGCGTAACTTGTGCTGTAGGGAGAGTTAGAGCCCATCAATTCAAGGAACAAGCGCAGCATAGGTGGGCAAAAGCGTATTGCGTGCGTTAGTGGCATGCGCTTCATGTGATGTGGTTGTCGGGGTATGCGCGACATGTGTTTGTGATGAGACTAGGTTAGCGGCCTAGTGGTCTAGTGGTATGATTCTCTTTGTGTGCGAGAGATCCCGGTTTCTATCACCGGCTGTGCCCGCCTCTTGCTCGCAATCCCACCCAACGCCAGGTCGGCCGTGTCCTATATCGGCAAGGGGGCGTTCGCCGCGCATCACCGCTCTACTCGCTCGCGCCTGTGACTGTGGGAAATTTGTTCACCAACACGACTCGACATGACATGTGGTGGGGCTGGGGCTGTACATGTCGTCTTCGCTTTTTCTCTACACTGTGACATTGCCACCCTCCTCTCTCCCACCGACAGCCAGCTAGAGACTCTCTACCATCGCACCCTTCTGTTCTAAATCTTGGCTAGATATATCTCACTTGTGTGTGCATACAACACACCGTGTTTAGATGTTCACGGATGTCTGATCGCGAATGGGGTGTGCATTCACCTCTATAAATTGATACATAATAATTGTGCGTAACTTGTGCTGTAGGGAGAGTTAGAGCCCATCAATTCAAGGAACAAGCGCAGCATAGGTGGGCAAAAGCGTATTGCGTGCGTTAGTGGCATGCGCTTCATGTGATGTGGTTGTCGGGGTATGCGCGACATGTGTTTGTGATGAGACTAGGTTAGCGGCCTAGTGGTCTAGTGGTATGATTCTCGCTTTGGGTGCGAGAGCTCCCGGTTTCGATCACCGGCTGGGCCCGTCTTTTGTTTGGAATCCCACCCAACGCCAGGTCGGCCGTGTCCTATCAGGGCAAGGCGGCGTTCGGCGCGTATCACCGGTCTACTCGGTCGCGGCTGGCACTGGGGGAATTTTGCTCAGCAACACGACTCGACGTGACATGGCGTGGTGCTGGTGCTGTACTTGTCGTCCTCGCTTTTTCGCTACACTGCGACTTTGCCACCCTCTTCTCTTCCACCGACAGCCAGCTAGTGACTCCCTACCATCGCACCTTTCTGTTCAAAAATCTTGGCTAGATATATCTCATTTGTGTTTGCATACTACACACCGTTTTTAGATGTTCACGGATGTCTGATCGTGAATGGTGTGTGCATTCACCTCTATAAATTGATACATAATAAGTGTGCGTAACTTGTGCTGTAGGGAGAGTTAGAGCCCATCAATTCAAGGAACAAGCGCAGCATAGGTGGGCAAAAGCGTATTGCGTGCGTTAGTGGCATGCGCTTCATGTGATGTGGTTGTCGGGGTATGCGCGACATGTGTTTGTGAAGAGACTAGGTTAGCGGCCTAGTGGTCTAGTGGTATGATTCTCGCTTTGGGTGCGAGAGCTCCCGGTTTGGATCACCGGCTGGGCCCGTCTTTTGCTCGGAATACCACCCAACGCCAGGTCGGCCGTGTCCTATCAGGGCAAGGCGGCGTTCGGCGCGTATCATCCGGTCTACTCGGTCGCGGCTGGCACTGGGGGAATTATTGCTGCAGCAACAACGACTCGACGTGACATGGCGTGGTGCTGGTGGCTGTACTTGTCGTCCTCGCTTTTTCGCTACACTGCGACTTTGCCACCCTCTTCTCTTCCACCGACATCCAGCTAGTGACTCCCCTACCATCGCACCTTTCTGTTCAAAATTCTTGGGCTAGATATATCTCATTTGTGTTTGCATTCTACACACCGTTTTTTAGATGTTCACGGATGTCTGATCGTGAATGATGTGTGCATTCACCTCTATAAATTGATACATAATAAGTGTGCGTAACTTGTGCTGTAGGGAGAGTTAGAGCCCATCAATTCAAGGAACAAGCGCAGCATAGGTGGGCAAAAGCGTATTGCGTGCGTTAGTGGCATGCGCTTCATGTGATGTGGTTGTCGGGGTATGCGCGACATGTGTTTGTGATGAGACTAGGTTAGCGGCCTAGTGGTCTAGTGGTATGATTCTCGCTTTGGGTGCGAGAGGTCCCGGTTTCGATCACCGGCTGGGCCCGTCTTTTGCTCGGAATCCCACCCAACGCCAGGTCGGCCGTGTCCTATCGGTGCAAGGCGGCGTTCGGCGCGTATCACCGGTCTACTCGGTCGCGGCTGGCACTGGGGGAATTTTGCTCAGCAACACGACTCGACGTGACATGGCGTGGTGCTGGTGCTGTACTTGTCGTCCTCGCTTTTTCGCTACACTGCGACTTTGCCACCCTCCTCTCTTCCACCGACAGCCAGCTAGTGACTCCCTACCATCGCACCTTTCTGTTCAAAATTCTTGGCTAGATATATCTCATTTGTGTTTGCATACTACACACCGTTTTTAGATGTTCACGGATGTCTGATCGTGAATGGTGTGTGCATTCACCTCTATAAATTGATACATAATAAGTGTGCGTAACTTGTGCTGTAGGGAGAGTTAGAGCCCATCAATTCAAGGAACAAGCGCAGCATAGGTGGGCAAAAGCGTATTGCGTGCGTTAGTGGCATGCGCTTCATGTGATGTGGTTGTCGGGGTATGCGCGACATGTGTTTGTGATGAGACTAGGTTAGCGGCCTAGTGGTCTAGTGGTATGATTCTCGCTTTGGGTGCGAGAGGTCCCGGTTTCGATCACCGGCTGGGCCCGTCTTTCGCTCGGAATCCCACCCAACGCCAGGTCGGCCGTGTCCTATCGGTGCAAGGCGGCGTTCGGCGCGTATCACCGGTCTACTCGGTCGCGGCTGGCACTGGGGGAATTTTGCTCAGCAACACGACTCGACGTGACATGGCGTGGTGCTGGTGCTGTACTTATCGTCCTCGCTTTTTCGCTACACTGCGACTTTGCCACCCTCTTCTCTTCCACCGACAGCCAGCTAGTGACTCCCTACCATCGCACCTTTCTGTTCAAAATTCTTGGCTAGATATATCTCATTTGTGTTTGCATACTACACACCGTTTCTAGATGTTCACGGATGTCTGATCGTGAATGATGTGTGCATTCACCTCTATAAATTGATACATAATAAGTGTGCGTAACTTGTGCTGTAGGGAGAGTTAGAGCCCATCAATTCAAGGAACAAGCGCAGCATAGGTGGGCAAAAGCGTATTGCGTGCGTTAGTGGCATGCGCTTCATGTGATGTGGTTGTCGGGGTATGCGCGACATGTGTTTGTGAAGAGACTAGGTTAGCGGCCTAGTGGTCTAGTGGTATGATTCTCGCTTTGGGTGCGAGAGCTCCCGGTTTCGATCACCGGCTGGGCCCGTCTTTTGCTCGGAATCCCACCCAAGGCCAGGTCGGCCGTGTCCTATCGGGGCAAGGCGGCGTTCGGCGCGTATCACCGGTCTACTCGGTCGCGGCTGGCACTGGGGGAATTTTGCTCAGCAACACGACTCGACGTGACATGGCGTGGTGCTGGTGCTGTACTTGTCGTCCTCGCTTTTTCGCTACACTGCGACTTTGCCACCCTCTTCACTTCCACCGACATCCAGCTAGTGACTCCCTACCATCGCACCTTTCTGTTCAAAATTCTTGGCTAGATATATCTCATTTGTGTTTGCATACTACACACCGTTTTTAGATGTTCACGGATGTCTGATCGTGAATGGTGTGTGCATTCACCTCTATAAATTGATACATAATAAGTGTGCGTAACTTGTGCTGTAGGGAGAGTTAGAGCCCATCAATTCAAGGAACAAGCGCAGCATAGGTGGGCAAAAGCGTATTGCGTGCGTTAGTGGCATGCGCTTCATGTGATGTGGTTGTCGGGGTATGCGCGACATGTGTTTGTGATGAGACTAGGTTAGCGGCCTAGTGGTCTAGTGGTATGATTCTCGCTTTGGGTGCGAGAGGTCCCGGTTTCGATCACCGGCTGGGCCCGTCTTTCGCTCGGAATCCCACCCAACGCCAGGTCGGCCGTGTCCTATCGGTGCAAGGCGGCGTTCGGCGCGTATCACCGGTCTACTCGGTCGCGGCTGGCACTGGGGGAATTTTGCTCAGCAACACGACTCGATGTGACATGGCGTGGTGCTGGTGCTGTACTTGTCGTCCTCGCTTTTTCGCTACACTGCGACTTTGCCACCCTCTTCTCTTCCACCGACAGCCAGCTAGTGACTCCCTACCATCGCACCTTTCTGTTCAAAAATCTTGGCTAGATATATCTCATTTGTGTTTGCATACTACACACCGTTTTTAGATGTTCACGGATGTCTGATCGTGAATGGTGTGTGCATTCACCTCTATAAATTGATACATAATAAGTGTGCGTAACTTGTGCTGTAGGGAGAGTTAGAGCCCATCAATTCAAGGAACAAGCGCAGCATAGGTGGGCAAAAGCGTACTGCGTGCGTTAGTGGCATGCGCTTCATGTGATGTGGTTGTCGGGGTATGCGCGACATGTGTTTGTGATGAGACTAGGTTAGCGGCCTAGTGGTCTAGTGGTATGATTCTCGCTTTGGGTGCGAGAGGTCCCGGTTTCAATCACCGGCTGGGCCCGTCTTTTGCTCGGAATCCCACCCAACGCCAGGTCGGCCGTGTCCTATCGGGGCAGGCGGCGCTCGGCGCATATCACCGGTCTACTCGGTCGCGGCTGGTACTGGGGGAATTTTGCTCAGCACCACGACTCGACGTGACATGGCGTGGTGCCTGTGCTGTGCTTGTCGTCCTCGCTTTTTCGCTACACTGCGACTTTGCCACCCTCTTCTCTTCCACCGACATCCAGCTAGTGACTCCCTACCATCGCACCTTTCTGTTCAAAATTCTTGGCTAGATATATCTCATTTGTGTTTGCATACTACACACCGTTTTTAGATGTTCACGGATGTCTGATCGTGAATGGTGTGTGCATTCACCTCTATAAATTGATACATAATAAGTGTGCGTAACTTGTGCTGTAGGGAGAGTTAGAGCCCATCAATTCAAGGAACAAGCGCAGCATAGGTGGGCAAAAGCGTATTGCGTGCGTTAGTGGCATGCGCTTCATGTGATGTGGTTGTCGGGGTATGCGCGACATGTGTTTGTGAAGAGACTAGGTTAGCGGCCTAGTGGTCTAGTGGTATGATTCTCGCTTTGGGTGCGAGAGGTCCCGGTTTGGATCACCGGCTGGGCCCGTCTTTTGCTCGGAATCCCACCCAACGCCAGGTCGGCCGTGTCCTATCGGGGCAAGGCGGCGTTCGGCGCGTATCACCGGTCTACTCGGTCGCGGCTGGCACTGGGGGAATTTTGCTCAGCAACACGACTCGACGTGACATGGCGTGG